GGGAGTGTGTTCCACTGTCAAACAGCTCTCACTGTCAGGAAGTTCCTCCTAATGTTGAGGTAGAATCTCTTTATCTACAGCTTGCATCCATTGTTCTAGGTTCTGTTCTCTGGAGCAACAGAAAACAAGCCACCTCCGTCCTCAATATGACATCCCTTTAAATATTTAAACAGGGCTATCATATCCCCTCTTAACCATCTCTTCTCCAGGCTAAACATACCCAGTTCCCTAAGTCATTCCTCATAGGGCATGGTTTCCAGATCCTTCGCCCTCCTCTGAACACACTTCAGTTTTTCAACATCCTTTTTGAATTGTGGTGCCCAGAACTAGACTCAGTATTCCAGGTGGGGCTGGACTAAAGCAGAACACAGTGGCACTATTACTTCCCTTGATCTAGATCAGGGGTAGGCAACCTTTCCCCTTTAAGGGCCGAGGGACTTCAGCTCCCAGAATCCCAGGAGCTATTGGCCAACATGGGACTATTGGCCAACATGGCTGAGGCTTCTGGGAGTTGAAGTCCTTCGGCCCTTAAAGGGGACAGGTTGCCTACCCCTGATCTAGATACTATACTTCTACTGATGCAGCCTAAAATCACATTGGCATTTTTAGCTGCGGCATCACACTCTTGACTCATGTTCAACTTATGGTCTACTAGGACTCCTAGATCCCTTTCACACTTAGTCTCGTTAAGCCAGGTGTCCCCCATCTTATATCTACGCATTTCATTTTTTTGCCCTAAGTGCAGTACCTTACATTTCTCTGTGTTGAAATTCATTTTGTTAGCTTTGTCCCAGCTTTCTAATCTATTAAAAGGTCATTTTGAATTTTCATCCTGTCTTCTGGGGTGTTAGCTATTCCTCCTAAGTTGATGTCATCTGCAAATTTGGTAAGCATGCCCCCTATTCCTTCATCCAAGTCATTGATAAAGATGTTGAAGAGCACTGGGCCCTGAGCAAAACCTGTGGCACCCCACTGGTCACTTCTCTCTAAGATGAAGAGGAGCCATTGCTGAGCACCCTTTGGGTTTGGTCAGTCAACCAATTACTAATCCACCTAACCATTGTATTGTCTAGCCCACATTTTATTATCTTGTTTGCAAGAATATCATGGGGGATCTTGTCAAAAGCCTTATTGAAATCAAGATATGCTATGCCTACCACATTCCCTTCATCTACTAAGCTGGTAATTTTATCAAAAAAGAGATCAGATTGGTCTGGCATGACTTGTTTTTGAGAAACCCATGTTGACTTTTAGTGATTATGGCATGGGTAGGCAACCTTTCCCCTTTAAGGGCCGAGGGACTTCAGCTCCCAGAAGCCTCAGCCATGTTGTCCAATAGTCCCATATTGGCCAATAGCTCCTGGGATTCTGGGAGCTGAAGTCCCTCAGCCCTTAAAGGGGAAAGGTTGCCTACCCCTGGATTATGACATTCCCTTCTAAATTTTCACAGACTCTCTGTTTAATGATTTGCTCTAGAATCTTTCACGGTATTGATGTCAGACTAACTGGACAATAGTTGTTGGGATCCACTTTTTTCCCCTTTTTGAAGATGAGGATAATGTTTGCTGTCCTCCAGTCTGCTGGGACTCCTCCTGTTTTCCAGGAGTTCTCAAAGATTATTGCCAGTGGCTTTGAGATTACATTTGCCAGTTCTTTTAATATCCTTGGATGTAGTTCATCTGGTCCTGGATTAACCAGGTATTCCTGTACTACCTCTTTACTTATTCCATTGCTGCATTTCCCCTGTTGTGTCCTGAGCACCATTTTCCTTTTGTGAGAAGACTGAGGCAAAGAAGGTGTTGAGTAGTCCTGCCTTTTCTCTGTCCCCTATTAGAATGTCTCCATCTTCTCTGCGCAGTGGTCCTACCATTTCCTTCATCTTTCTTTTGCTACAGACATACTCCCCCCCAAAAAACCCCTTTTGTTCTTTACCCCTCTAGCAAGCCTGATCTCATTCTGCACTTTGGCTTTCCTGACTTTGCCCCTACATTCCTCTTTAGTGATTTTCCCCCTTTTCCATTTCTTATACATCTCTCATTTAAAACTTAGTTCATTTCAAAGTTCTTTTGTCATTGAACCCAGTTTCTTGAAAGACCTCCCATTTTTCCTTCTCATTGGAACAGTTTGAGATTGTGTCTTCAGTATCTCCCTTTTGAGAAACTCCCATCTATCCTGAACTCCCTTCTCCTTTAGTATTCCTGACCACGGGATCACTCCCAGTGTTTCCCTAACTTTATTGAAATAAGCTCTCCTAAAGTCTAGAATGAGTGAAGTCGTAGGCTTTCATGGCCGGCATCCATAGGTTTTTTGTG